TGGTCTAATTAACATATTTCTCATGAATAGAGCATGATAAGCACGTGTAGAGACAACTCTAATCTTAATTCTATATTTTGGATCCCAACCAGCATAACCATCAAAAACGTATAATTGTTCACGTGTATTTAAATAATCAACAGCACGTTCTCTATTAACCATAAATGAATCTTCACTTAATGGAATATTAACAGGACCAAACCAAATATCATCTTTTGATGTTTCTTCTGAAACAATACGTTTATCTTTAGGTGAACGACCTGTCTTTTGTCCACTAAAAGCAACAAGTGCACCTGTACAAGTTAATGCTGTACCTCTTTCATGTTTTAATGCTTGTTCATATAATACTGGTACTGAAGCATTATGATAAACTCTACGTGCTGTAATACCATAACTTTCTAATTCTTGATGAACTGAATCTTCATCTGATGAATAATATTCTGGATCCATACGATGAAATTGATGATCTGATGCATGTTGATTATCTTGATGAACAGTTGGTGCTAAATGTTTGGCTAAATTTGACATTTTTCTATTATTATTATCATATCATATTATTATCATGATTAACAGTGTAGGGGAGGAAAATAGGAATTGCATAAATAACAGTATAGGAGGAAAATAGGAGGAATTGCATAAAATGATCATAATGTTTTGATCAATTGTAAATGGATCAATCATTAATAAACATTGAATATTAATATAAAATTATTAATACAATAATAATACGCTACCTCTATTATTTTAATATTAGGGAGGTGATGAAATAATTGAGACTTTTTTTTTTGAAATTAAATGGACCCAAGATAGATACAAAGCGACTTTAAATCCATTTTTGATTGGAGTCTAGTTTGGGTTCTGGTTTAAAATCTCGCGAATTAGCCCAGGTGGTAACCTATGGTGAAAAATGTGTTCGTTGATTTTGTAATATCGCTCTCACATTAGCGAATTTATTGACTATTAGATATTTGTTGAGGTGAACTGGTGAATGATCAGGGTGCGCTATTTCAACCATTTTCTTTGTAGGGACTAAATTTGTTTCCGCCCCAAGTTTGAACATATTAAGGTTTATCAATTATACCAGTTATAGGTCCAAAGTATTAAGAGACATTATCTGAGATCTATCTAAACTCTTCATTTATTTATGTGAGGTCTTTATTCAGTCAGAACCTTTTTAGTAAACGGAGAATGTACAACATTAATTTGATACAAAATGCATTTTTTGTCAATTAAATTTGGAAAACAAATCTATTCCAAATTTTTTAAACAGCAATTACATCAAAACCTCCTGATAAATTATTAAAGGCTACATTATCATTTGAAAAGCACATCAAACAGTGTAGTAAGGCAACTTTGAATGTCAATTCACAAATTTCATTTATTGATAGTGAGAACCATTTTCAATTGTGACTCACAACGATTGTTTATTCTGAATTCCACTCTCTGATTGTAAAATAATTCTCACTATGACCCCTCATTCCTAGACAAATCCAAGAAGTGTAATTCCCTGCAATGGAGGAAATTGTATTGAAAATCATACCACTGGTGACTGACAATGAATTGTATGAAATTGGCTCACTTGTGGCCAAAGACCAAGAATATGTGAACGCATGTCCATTTAATCTACCTTTTTTTGCAAACAGTTTAGTGAAATTGGCTTATCTCAACAATTATTTTTATTCTTGAGAAGGATTTACATGCCATATGGCTGTTTTAAACAAAAGAGGTGATCTATGTTTCATGGATAGATCTCAACAAGACATGATATACTCTCCAGAAGAATTTAATGTTCTACTAATCTTTAAGAACAGTTTGCCAAATATACATTCAATGAACTGTGACATCCCTCCTATTTTTACTAGCTCAATGGAGCTGATATGTCATTATCGATTACTCCAAGACTTCAACCAGAGCAGGTTCCAGTACAACTCACTCTACTGGTGGACTTTCCAAATGAGAAAAGTATTTGTCAAATCATTAAGGAGAATCACCAAGAGTTTCTACTGTTTTGCGAATTGGATATTGTCTCATTTCTAATAAGGTAAAAAGTTTAATTTCATGTGGATGGATATCATTTTACATGTCATGATGGTAATGAAAGAGATATTGTTGTAGCTTACATTCGTTTTATTTGAAAAAAGTTGGCTATTTTTATTTAAAAGACAAATATACCAATATAAACTTGTTTTTGTTAAACTGCAAAATATTTATGTAAATGTTAAAATTTGATGGGTTTTATCTTCTGTTGGTTTAACTTTAAACACTTGGAAGTGGAAAACCTTGAAACTATTCATTGAGAGTATTGATAATTAGAGTACTTAATTTACCAACGTTTGGATGACCATTAACTCCTGTTATTTACCATACTGGTAATGATATACAGTGATAACTTTGGAATTGTACAGACAATAGGTTAGTCATTTAAAACTGCACCATTTGCTTGTATCTGATGTGGTTTAATACAACATTTAAAATCAATTTACGCTAAGTACTGTGGATATGTTTCCGTTTTGTTCTTGAGAAAACTTAAAGTGTTGGTACTTGGCTAAGTTGTACCGATATCAGCACCTACTTACAGTATTGTTGTGCACTATAGAGACTCGTTAACATATATGCAAAGTCAGAGTAGTTTGAAAACTACTAATACAATATAAAGTGCTCATCAATATGTATGGTATATTATCGTTACCGTATGTGTAAATACACAGCAGTACAACCCAGTTTGAGGTATGTTGGGTTTGCTACGATATCAAATGTGAGCAACATAACTCATCAAAAACACCAAAGTCAGAACAGCGAACCATGCTAAACCACCCAATACATAATGTAATATTTAGTGGTATTTTCTTTTTAGGATCTTATCCACAGTGATAAAATATGATAACACCAATAATCGAAAATTCTAACAAATTGAAACTTTACAAAGTCTGCTATTTGTTGTGATAGACATGTTAATTACCCAAATCAGCTCATCAATCACGTAACCATTTTACGAGTCAACTGTCGTTAACAACATCAAATAAAAATGCTCACACAAACACAGGCAGCAAATACAACCAGTTTTTCCAAAGCTTCTACATTTTGATTCAAGCATCATAATGTACCAACCCAATATTACAAAATAATACATTTTTCCTTTTCATCTCTATAATATTCACTTGCAGTTTGTGAAGGCATTTCTTGTTTAATTTGATTTCTTCCCTTAGTATTATTATATTCTCTATATTGAGAATCATCATTATATTGTTGTTGATTTGATCTTTTATCAGCAATTATATTTCTTCTTGAATGATGTTGTTGATTATTATAATAAGGTTCATCTAATTCATGTTGTTGATATTGATCATATTGATCATGATGAGGATGTGAATGTTGTTGTTGTTGATAATATTGTTGTTGATCATCATCTAATTCATATTGTTGATGTTGAATAAAAGGTCCAACATTTGATTCATATTGATGATTAATACTACCAGGTTGATCATCAATCATATCTAATTGATCTATAATTTCTTGTTCTAATCTTTGTTGATCTAATAATTCTTGTTCTCTTCTTTCTTGTTCAATCATTTCTTCTTTCATTTCATCAAATATTAATTCTTGTTGTTGATTATTTAAATTTTTTCTTCTTCATTTTTAATATGATTACCATGATTACTAATATTTAAAGTACTAGTATTTAAATTATTTTGATTATTAGTATTTAAATTATAATCAGTTTGTATTTCTTTTGATTGTGATTGTGGTGGTAATTCAATAGCATTAATAGTTCTATAATAATCTAATGCTTCATCTACTTCATATCCATATAAATCTGTCATTATTGATATTTCATTTTTATTTATATTATTATTAAATTATTTAAATTATTATTTATATTATTATTTAAATTATTTAAATTATTTAAATTATTATTATTATTAGGTATTAAAGATGATATAATCATACCATTATGTAAAGTACTATTTAAAATGTTAGAATTTAAAGTATTACTATTTAATAAAATATTATTATTTAAATAATAAAATAATTGATTTTCTAATTCTAAAATTCTATTTTTTAATATTTTTTCATTTTGTAATAATAAATTAATTTTATCTAAATTAGGATCACCTCTAATAATTTTTAACTTATTTTTAATATGTTTAGCTCTATCAGCAAAATATAAAGATGATAAAATTCTTCCATA